GTAACTGAAATTATACACATTGGAACAATGCAAGCTGAGGACTGTCTGCCATTTTAATCAATGGCTAAAGAGAAGCAACACAAACAAACAAATAATGTTGGGAAATGCCTTAGGCTGGATAAAAATGAAATATGAGTCTTCTTATTACTCTTGTAATTTGGCATTTGGATTACTTAATTTAATGTGAGAACACATTGTACTGAAGTGCATATGTGCACTGCTGTAAAATTAACAGCAGCTTTTATTTATTTGCCATATTTAAATTTTATTGTTTTTGAATAGCTGGTAAATTCAAGTGGTTAATATTTCAAGAGATACAAAAGACTATACAGTGAGAAAGTCATAATATTGCCCTTCCTTTTCCAACTGCCATTCTTTTCATTGAGGGTGACTGACATCCTTCCAGAGATAATGTATGCATATGTAAGCAAAAATATTCACAAATACACTCACATAATTTTCTCTCCCTTTAAAACACAAATTCTAAGCAGTTAGTATTTACTGAATATTTTCTATGTACTAGATAATATGCTGAACTAAATTATACACATTATCTCTTTTAATCCCAACAGTAAACTTTAAGGTAGGTTATTAATATAGTAGAGGAAAATCAATCTCTGGCAATTTAACTCCTTTTACCAAAATTGGTCAGTTTGTGGTGGATCAGCTATTTTTATCTAGGTATTCTGTCTTCTCAAGGGCAGACTCTTAATGACTAGACTACACTCCGTAGGATCTGTGTATAGCTCAGGCAATAGCATGTAAGTAGTCTAACAGTCCTTTTATGGTGTTGGAAATTCTTTTTGCTATTTCAGTCTATGAAAATATGGTGCTTAGGGCTTCTGAAAGAAACTAAGGTATCTCCAAAAACATTAGATATCTCTCTCAGGAGAATGTTTGGCCACCATCTGTACTGGGAAATCGGGCAGCTTGCTTGGAAGGAGCCCAGTCCTGACTGCATGTCTGTGATCTGTTCTCTGGAATTGCCAGGCAGCCCCCCTCCTTATTGGGTTGTGAAATTCCATGTGATATTCTATGTAAATGCATTCACACACACACACACACACATGCACGCATGAACATTTGTTCATTTATTCATTCATCAACAAATATATCTCTTAAGTGTCTTAATCTTGTATAATAGAAATTTGAAATTCAGGAAAGTTAAAAACATACCATAAAACCTGTTTACTTTTCTTATTTTATAAACTGAGTACTGCTTGACAGTTTATACTTAAGATCCTGTTGTAAGCAGAGATGATACACTTGTCAGTTCTGTTTGCAATTGGTCATCTTTTCCAGATATCCACTTCCTGAATGCATGTCTTGGTGCAGTCTTAAAGGGAGCGGAGGAGGAGTGTCTTGTGAGGGGCTTTGCGTTCCTGTCTTTGCTCCACCATGCGCTCCCCTCGCTTGTCTTTGCTGCACTGGAGGTGCTGAATGTTTTCTCTTGCCTTTTATCTGAGTATGGAAAGCTAGTAGTTGATGTTCAGGTTTTGGGGGAGTCAACTCTCTCATCACACACGCTCACACACAATCTATGTTCTGGGAGATCTTGATGTGCCTATTAAGTGCTTCTCCAAGGAATCTCTACCTTTTTAAATGAACTGCACAAAACCTGATTAACAGCTGAACGTGAAGGATGATGATTTTCAAGAGCTACTAGTGTTAGGGGAATATGTTATATATCTTCCTGCAAGTCTGAAGGCCAGGATCTTGGCATCGCTGGGTGTCTGTGTTCAAGAGCAATACCATCTATCATGATATTTAGAGGATTGAAGTCATTTCTTTCTGTACGCTAGATTTTTGCTTAGAAATCTACCCTCTATTTGGCTCAATTTCAGGTATATGTTTTTTAAATTGTGAAAGCTCTAGTTTCTGTTTTAAATATTAGACATAGGGCAAATGCTTATTTCCTGTCTGTAAAATAACTTACATTTACTTATTTTTGTTATAATATCTGGCAAATAACATTAATTAGAATATTTATGTGTAGAGATAACCATATTTCAGTCAATGATCTCATCTGCTACTTTATTTAGAAGTCTGAGCTCAGCCCATTTATGTATCCTCAATTTATCTTCTTCTCATTTTATAGTCTCTGGTACTTCTTCCCTCTTTTGTGAATGTTAGTTTCGGAGAATATATCCTTCTAGGTTGTACATAGACTATTTATCTTGTGCTCCATTCTTCTCTAGAACCTTCCTCCATTATTACTTGCTCCTCAAGTCTCTCCTCTCTGCTGGCTTATTTCCTTGGTTAACAATATGCACAACCATCTTTACCCTCTTGAGCCTTCAATCACTTCAAAAGAAAAATTTCTCATAGGACAATTCTATATTCTCCGCTTCTTTATCTGAAACCTATTTGGCATTATATCTACACCAAATGCTAGTTGGTTAAGAGGACGACTGAGAGATTGACCACTAAATTTATGAACATGGAAGTCACTGTTGACCTTGACAGGAAAAATAAAGGCTGGCATGGCGGTGCACGCAGCCTTCCTTTGGAGGGATCAAGAGAGAGCAGAAGAAATGGAGACAGGAAGAAGAAACAACTTTTTTAAGAAGAAGGTTTATTGTAAAAGGAGATGAATAGAGCGTGGTAGCTTGGTGTTTGCTGGAGGGAATGTGAGTCCAAAAATGACATTTTTTTAAAGCTATGAAGAAATAACACAGCATTGCATTCTCCTGGGGTACAACCAATAAAGAGGGCAAAGGTGATGCAAGAGAGAGGATTATTGCAGGTGGGATGTCCTGTGTCCTTGAGTACGTGGGAAGGTTGGGATTCAGAGCATTGTGGGAAGTCAGTTTTAGGAGGCAACATAAATACTTTAACCATTGTAGCAGAACAGATAGCTTAGTGAGTGAATACAGATGTAAGCACATGATTAATTCAGTGATAGAAAAATGTGAAGTTCTCCTGTGATTACTTCTAATTTTTCAGTGAAGTAAGAGGATTATCAACTGACAATGGGGAGTGAAAGGAGATTTGGAGAAAGGAGATTTTGAGGAGAGAGGAGAACCTGTAAAATATTTATCTAGGAGAGTGACTATTGAATGTTTCTGACTGTAGCACAGAATAAGAAATATTAGTATCGAGGATGTAAAATACACAATTGTACACAGACACACATACACCATATACACACTCATAGACACACAACTGAAACAAGAGTTTCAGGAGATAGTACCCTTACTTCATTTAGTTTCACTTCAATTCTATTTTATTTGCAAAATGTGGATAGTCACATACTAAATTTCATGGCACACACTAATAAGTTGCAATGCAAAGTTTGAAAAACACTCATCTGGAAAAATTGAAGAGGAAATTTTCTATAGAAATGTAATAGGATTCCTGCATAGCAAAACAGGCCCACTTAAGAAGAAAATCTAAAGTGAGACTGATCAGCATAATTAAAATCAAAATCATTATTCAATTCTCTACCTCCAATTATTCCTCCTGCTGAGATCCCTATTTATCCTCAAATTCCCTTGTTCTCTAGTAACTCGAATTTGAGATCCATCAATTTTATTTCCATACCCCATTTCTTTAACTCCCTCCATTCACCTGACTGCAAAATTCAAGTTAATTCTGCCTCTAAACTCTCAACAGCATTTCTTTGTTTCTATTTCCATTGGTTTTACCACAGTTCAGGCCGTTATTGCATTTCTCTCCATCTTATATTTTGCTTTTCTTTTCTTATTATGATAATAATGGCTGTCCATGATAAGAAGTTTATTTTTAAAAGACCATTAAAGAAAATAAATATCAACTACAATCTCACTATTAAGAGATTTTCTAGCTTCACTTATTGGTATATATATACTTCCAGTTGTTTTACATACAAAAATATAATGTTCCTATAATTGTACATGTGGAACCGTATGATGTAATCCTGTCTTGTAATGTTGTTTTAAAGATAAGACATTGTGAATTTCTGCCCACCTCATAAGGTGTTTGTCAAAATCATATTTAGCAGTAGCTGCAGATCCATGTGGACAATAGCTGCTGATCCATGTGTAGTGTTTTAATATAAATGATTTTGTAAACTTGTGCAGTGATATACACGTGTCTCTCAGATCTTGTACTGCAGGGAGCATAATTTGCCAACGGCCCTAGCTGCTGTGCTCTGAAATTGACTCATCGTATTTAGTTTGCATGCCCACACTTCCCAGTCAATAACTGAACATAGGAAAGGAATTAGGGAGGCTCATTTATGGGACACTTGGGATTCCCCTGACACTAGTGTCTTTGGCTTGAGGTCTCCCTGACAGCCTTGCAGATTTTCCAAAGAACTATGCACAACTTTACCTTCTTCCTTCCCTAGGGATCAGACTTTCATGAAGTCTGAAGGCTCTCCCTGCTTCTCCCAGCTCCTTTCCCATTTTCTCCCAGAGACCTATTTCCCCTAATTTCTGTACACTTAATCCCATTTTGGCATCTGTGTTTCAGAAGACCCAAACTAGCAAACATTTAGGTTGTTTTCAGATTTGTACAACCAGATTAAGCTCCTGACTGATCAACTTTTGGCACAGCATTCTTCTGTTGTGCTCTAGTCTAGCCCAGTGCCTGCTATCCAGCGCACCAACATTCTACTCACCTCACTCCCACCCACTCTAAAGAAACAACCCACCTGGCTCCTTTATTCTGGATCCCTTCTTGACTTTTCCACCTCAATATTCTTTTCTCTCTATTTTAAAGACTATACAAAGGTGTTTTTATGCAATGTTTTCCCTCTTCTTGGTACGTTAAAAGGAAAGCTATATGGCCTAGTGGTGAAACAGTCTGGAATCAGATAGACCTGCTTTGTTATATTATCAACATTAAAATAAAAAAAAAAAAGAAAGCAAAACAAAGACATTTCCTATGTTTGGGAAACACTGAGCTAAACAAAAATAATTCAAGTTTGTTATTTGTTTTTAATTACAAGACTTCCCCAAACCCTTAAAATGTTAATATACTCTGTGACTTTCTAAGGCCAGCACTGACACCTTATGTAGCTTATCCCAAATTTATTTCATTATGAATTTGTTTGAAAAACAGATCATCTCCGGACAGTAGGTTCTTGGCACATATTGGGAAAAGGCAAAAGCTGTTGTAGAAATTTTGCATGTATGATTTTTACAGTATTATACATACTCTTCATTTGTAGTTACTTGTATTATTTCATTTTTCAACCTTAGCCTTTGCATAAGGTAGTGAAAATAGTGAGCACTTGTTGAATTGAGAATCTCAGAATTTTAGTTGATTCATGGCCTGGAAAAATAGGCCAGGTAACTGGAAAAAGTTAGTTTGCACGTACTTTCAGTAGTTTTTGCAGTCCTTTGTATATCATAGTATCCTGGGCTATCTTTGAGGCTGGGAAAATAAGTATCTTGATGATGGCAAAAAGCCCTTTTTAACATGGGGCTAACCATTTTTTTTTTTTAAACAAATCACTTTATTGGAGGAACAATATAGGAGGAGATGAGTATAAAGATAGAGGTGAATTTTAAGGGCAGGAAAGCAGGAGACCGCGGACTCCCGTCTTGGATGCACTGGGTAGCCGCGGGGAAGGGCAGCCTGCAGCTTAGTTCTGCTTCTTTTCATTTCCAAGAGTATGTTTGTCAAAAAGGTACTCGCCCAGTTCAGAATGCGGGGCGCCCATCTTAACTAGGTTGTGCACATAGTCACCTAGTTCTTTGATAGACTTCACCTGCTCGTTCAGGTAGTGGGTTTCCAGGAAGTCGCACAAATGGGGGTCGCCCTTGTCAGAGGCCAGAGCGTGCAGGTCCAGCAACGACTGGTTCACGTTCTTTTCTAAGAGCAGGGCGCACTCCATGGCGTGCAGCCCGTTTTCCCAGTCGTCCTGGTCGGGCTTCTTGATGTCCTGCAGGCGGATGCGGCCTCCTCGCTGGTTCTGCAGCCTCATCAGCTTCTCTGCGTGCTCCGTCTCCTCCCGGGACTGGTGCAGGAAGTACCTGGAGAAGTTGTTCAAGGCCACGTCATCGCGGGAGAAGTAGTAGGCCATGGACAAGTACACGTAGGACGCGTAGAGCTCCAGGTTGATCTGGCGGTTGATGGCGGCCTCGGAGTCGGGGTGGAAGTTCTGGCGCACCCCGGAGGGGGTCTTGGCGGGACAGGCGGGGCCCCGGGAGGAGGCGGCGGCCAGCGGGCGGCGGGGGGCGGCCGGCGGGGGGCCGGCGGGGAGCGCGGGGGCCCAGCGAGGCGGGAGCGGGAAGCCGCGGGGTGCACTGCGCAGCGACACCAGCGAAGGGCTGGGGTGCTTGGAGAGGAGCCTGAAACAGGACAGCATGGCCCCCCCTCTTGGGAAACGGGGAAACTGAGGCCAGGCTGGCTCGGCGCGCGGTCGGTCGGTCGGGAGCCGGCCGCCAGGTCTGAACGAGAACGCGGCCCTAGGCGACAGCGACTGCGTCACACGCCCGCTCCCTTCCAGAAGCCCCGCGTTCCAGCGGGCCTGGGCGCCGAGGCTGCCTCCCCGCGGTGGGCACGAGCGTGGCACTCGCGGCCCCTGGGGAGGGCCAGCGCGGGCGGAGGCCAGCCCCGGCCTCCGTTTACCCACAGTTCGCCCCGTAGTCGCCGCAAGGTCTCCACTCTTGGGCACGAGTAATGTGTCATCTCACCGAAAATGCAGCCAACAAGCAGGCGCTGGGACTTGCCGAGGCGGCCTGAGCCGGCTCGCCCTGCGTCCCCGGCTGTCCCCGCGCAGAGACCCGGGTGGCGGCGCGGAGACCCGGGTGGCGGCGCGGAGACCCGGGTGGCGGCGCGGAGACCCGGCCGTCGGCGCGGAGACCCGGTGGCGGCGCGGAGACCCGGCCGTCGGCGCGGAGACCCGGGTGGCGGCGCGGAGACCCGGGTGGCGGCGCGGAGACCCGGGTGGCGGCGCGAAAGCGCAAAGCAGAAGTTCGCTGGTGGCAGTGTGGGGCCGCCTCCGAAGCGGGTGTTTGTCACTTAACTTCCTGGGTATTTTAACAAATTGGAGTATGGAAATAATTGCCAGTATCGTGGGCAAATTTTCAAGACAGTGCTTTCTTTGGAAACATGTGTATTTGATTTTTAAATATGAAATTTATCTTCATTGTAAAGAAATAAGATATTGTGGAGATGCAGGAAGAACATACATACTGCCTCTAAACTTGATGTTACTTTTCCTGTCTTTTGTTAATGCAGAGATGCATATTTTTTTTAAAAGACGACTTTTTTTAAAAAAAACTACTTTTTTAAAACTTAGATTTTTTATAGCATTTAGTCTTAAAAGAATATATATATATATATATATATATATATATATATATATATATATGATTGTTGTAGGGCGTTGAGAAAATGAGGATGAGCTCAAAGAAGAAAATTCAAAACATCCTTAATTCTTCCTCTATCCAGAGAGAACCCATGATAAAATGCTGGTGGTAATTCTCAGAGATTAAAAAAAATACTGAAAAATATATATGATGGACAGGCAAAAATAAACATGCATTTTAACAGCTTTATAGAGGTATAATTGACATAAGATAAACTTCAGATACTTAAAGTATGTAATTTGATAGGGCTCGACATTTGTATACATCTGCAAAACCATCACCATAATCAAGATATGATCATATTCATTTTTCTGCAAAGTTTCCTCATGCCCCTTTGTACTTCGTGATCCCTTGCTTCTGTCTGTTTCTGACCCATCCCAGGCAACCACTGATCAGCATTTCTCACCATATAGATTAGTTTGCATTTTCTAAAATTTCGTATAATAGAATCAACAATATATGTTCTTTTTTGCCTGCTTTCTTTCACTCAGCATAATTTTGAGATCCATCTATGTTATAGCTTGTATCAATAGTACCTTTTATTGGTTAGGGTTAGGCTTAGGGTTAGTATTTAATTATATGGATATATCAATTTGTTTATCCTTTCATCTGATAATGAACGTTTTGGCTGTTTATAGTTTTTTTTGAGACAGAATCTCGCTCTGTTACCCAGGCTAGAGTGTGGCCACTTCAGCCTAGCTCACAGCAGCCTCAAACTCCTGGGCTCAAGTGACCCTCTTGCCTCAGCATCCTGAGTAGCTGGGACTATAGGTGTGTGCCACCATGCCCAGCTTATTTTTTTCAATTTTTAGTAGAGATGGGGTCTCACTCTTGCTCAGGCTGGTTTTGAATTCCTGACCTCAAGCAATCCTCCTACCTAAGACTCTCAGAGTGCTAGGATTACAGGCGTGGACCACCGCGCCCAGCTTGTTCATAGTTTTTGACTATTAAAGCTGTTATGGGCATTCCTGTACAAGTCATTATATGGTCAGATGCTCTCATCTCTTTTGGGTAAATACCTTGTGGAATGTCTGGATTGTATAACTATGTATTTAATTCTTAAAGAAACTTCCAAACTGTTTTCCAAAGTGATTGTATCATTTTACATTCCCATCAGCAGTATGTGTGACTCTAAGTTCCTCCACATCTTTGCTTACATTTGGCATTGTCAGTTATTTAATTTTAATTTAAAATTAAAAAGTTTAATTTAAAATATTCTAATGCATGTGTACTGGTGTTTCATTGTGTTTTTAATTTGCATCTCCATAATGATTAATGATGCTGAGTATATTTTCACTTGCTTTTTGCCAATCATAGATTTTTGGTGAATTGTATGTTCAAATCTTTTGCCCATTTATATATTGAGCCATTTTTTAAAATAGTTGTTTGATTTCTTATGGTTATTATCTGGGTTTTTGATATTAGTACTACTTCTATTCAGGTCTTCGTTATGTGATCTATATATTACTTTATATTACTTTCCTTTTTTCATTGCACAAGTCAGATTGTCTTTCTAGGTTAGTTTCCTCAGTTGTAAATTTAGGATACTGCTTACCTCTATGGGTGGTTGAAAGAATCAAATAAGAGAATGTATACAGAGTACTTAAATCACGGTGCTTGACATGGAATAAGCACTCAAAATAGTTAATAGTTTTTTGGGGATAATTTCCATTTAATGATTCAAAATCAGTCATTTTATATTATTCAGTAAACATTATTATTATTGAATATGAAAGACTTACACAGGCTACAAAGAATATTTACATGTATTATATTGTTGCTATCATGTCTGAGTAGTGAGGTTCAAATCCTTTTATTATATGGGAATGTCAAACTTGCAGTTTTGTAGTAGGTTCCCTGTTCTCAAGTGAGCTTCTTAAAGTGTACCATATATAAAAGGTGATGCTTACGATTTAGTTGTCCTTACACTCTGCTCTTAGAATGTGAGTGATATTCACCAGGCAATTTCTCACAAATTTTACTTCTCTAATACCATCTTTGCTTTTATTTTACCTAAATTTTTGCTATCTTTGAAATGTAGGCCCCTAAACAGAGGTTATGAAAATGATTGTTTAGAGTGGTATTAAATGCTGACTGCTGCTACTAGTGTTTTAGGAAAATTGATGTCCTTCATATAAATGTTTATCCCCAAAGTAATAAAATGCATAGATATAAAACAAATGCAATACATGAAATGTAATGCAAAACAATGCCATAAAACACAATACACATTTAAATATCCCACTTTAATCTGTCAAAATATTTCTTTTTCCCATTATAAAGTTTGTGTTTTATAATTTGCTAGACTTTGAAAACGCAAAGATGTAGTAGGTGTTATGTTTATCTTATTGGCATTTTGATTTCTAGTATTCATAGTAAATTTAATGTTCTAACACAATACAAACCTAGACCATTGTCCCCTGCTCTTCACAACTCATTTCTTTCTTAGTTTTATTGGCTTCTCTTTCTTGAACACCCCTCTCTCTAAGCTTTCATGGTTCTCCTGAATTCTCTCTACTGCTTCACTTTCCTTCCCTCTAATCTAGAGCTCATCTTTCCAACCTTTGACATTTCACTCCCTAATGAAATCCATCTCATCTTCTAAGCTCTCATCAAATATATTACCTTCTCTGTAAGGTCTTATATAACACCATTCAGAATTAATCACTATGTTTTTTTTTTTTTTTGGTGTTAAAGTACTTTGCTTATATCAAGAGCATATCATGTTATAATTCCTTCTATATATGTGTGTAAATGTCTGTGTGTGTGTATGTATATGTATGTCCTTAAGGGCAGAGCCTACTATTTTACTCATTTTTAAATCACTAGGCCTAGCCCAGTGCTTGACACATATTAAAAAATAAACACACAATAAAGCTTTGCAAATGCCAAAATGAATTGGGATAGAAATTCTTATTTTATATAGTGTATCAGATTAGCCAAATATAATTTTATAAAATATATTAGGAGATGTCTTCACTTTAAATTATTTGAGCTTGTGCAGAAAATCTCTGTGCTTTGGTGATTTTAGTCTCTAAAGGACTAACAATATTCACTCTTTTCTCCTTTATAGACACATTAAACAATAATTTATTATATATGTAAAAATGCTTTTCCAATAGGAAATTAAAGAACTATATGAATATGGATTGCTTTTATTAAGCCATGTTTTGATTTATGCAATATATAGATCATATTTTATTGCTTTCTTTAAAGAACTTTTTTTTTTTTTTGAGACAGAGTCTTACTCTGTTGCCCAGACTAGAGTGCCGTGGCATCAGCCTAGTTCATAGCAACCTCAAACTCCTGGGCTAGAGCAATCCTTCTGCCTCAGTCTCCCAAGTAGCTGGGACTATAGGTATGCACCACCATGCCCAGCTAATTTTTTCTATATATGTTTAGTTTTCTGGCTAATTTCTTCCTGTTTTTAGTAGAGACAGGGTCTCACTCTTGCTCAGGCTGGTCTTGAACCCCTGACCTCCAGCGATCCTCCCATCTGGGCTTCCCAGAGTGCTAGAATTACAGGCGTGAGCCACCATGCCCAGCCTAAAGAACTTGATTTTAGTAACTGTACCCCTTTGTATTTACACATGTAATGAAGACATTTTTCTCCTTTTCTCATTTCTTTTCATTGTTTTTACATAACAAGGTCAGTCACATAAGCAACTCTTCATTTTCACTACTGATTCAGGGCCCTTCTAAAATTACTTGCTGTCAGAAACAATATGATGAAGGAAGAATGGAGATAAATCTATTAATGGCTATAGATTATGGACTTGCTGTTAAAGGAGTCTTTGAGGGTTTTGACTAGAGAACAATGGAGAGTTTTGCCTTGGGGCATGAAAAGGCTTGTAACTTATGTATTGCTCCCCTGAGTGTTATTACTAGGAAAGCTCTCAGAATTCAAAAGGGAGTCATGGACTCAGTAATAGAGTACATTTTTGCCTTATTCTGGGATCCACTAAAAACTTGGAAACCCTTTAGGTCACCTGACAAATGAATTAGAACCAAACTTCCAAGTGCAGTACATGCTGCCTCTAAAACCACAAGAAGTCCAGCAAATTCTGTTTTATTCATTCATTTCATTCATCTAGTGTTGGAGGCACAAG